TTTTGCACGTTCTTTCTAAACCTTACCTACGTTTTCACTCAACAAAAAATAATAACGAATCATAAATCGCAAGTATTGATCTAGTGTTTGCTGCGGGTCCAAATCTTGTAGCCCACCGTGGAATCGCTTGCAGCGAAGTTGCAGTCTTGCCTCGTCATGATTTCATACAAAGGTTCGATCTTCCATGTACTAAAACGTTAAAGATAAAAACTGATAAACTATTTCACGGACGATTAAACAAAAGATCTTCTACCTGACCATCTATCTCCTTATTTACGCATTTGCGAAGTAGAAAGTTCTAAGACATGAATAGCCTCAAGAATGAACTGACGCAAAATGGCGATTTTACGTTTTAGTCGAAAAAATTTCGATATGATAAAAGCGTACGTGAACAATATTGGCCAAATTTCATCCTGTTTGTGCGGAAGTTGGTTTAGACTAGTCCATCTGCTCGTACTTAAAGCATACAAGCAAGTATCAATCTATCTTTTGATGACTGGCGGAAATGCCTTCATACTATAGCTATTCTCGCCGGGAGAGATCTCAAAAAATCTCTGGCAGGTAGTTGTATTATTCTTATAAAAAAAGGAATACCATTCTAACTTACGCATTACCGGACTATAAGAATCGCTTGGACGTCGAGAACTTTAGGGTTTTCTATGGTCTTCGAAAGATTTCAGAGCGATAAAGAAGGCGAATTCTCTGTTGAGCACTGGCAAGGATAACAAAAAATATCCACTAATCATCTAGAATCATTAACTTGCTAAATTACTTGAATACAAATATTCCCCGCTTTATTAGACATTGAATGGAAATCCCTAGATTCAAAGGACATTTTAAAAATCAAATTTTCTTTGATTAGCTTAGAAAATAAGATAATTTCGACGATGATAAGTTGGTCTCATAATGAGCCAAGGTTGCTTGCAGCTGCCGACACTGACTTGAGACTCGCCCATGCTTATTTTTCATTATTAGTCTTTCCTGTCGTAATTCCAAAAATATGCGGTTTTGATCACTAAACTTAGGCTAACAAGATGCTCTTTTCGAAGAAGATTTTTTTCGAGCGTGTGGTTTTGGATTTGGTCTTTTCAAGCCTTTACCGCTAATTTAGTCATAAAGATTATGACATTTTAGGCGCGACATGTTTTAGCGTTATTTTGAAATAGTCGTACTAAATCAATCTGTGCACGAAATATTGTACTTCTTTCACGCCCCAAAAAATTAAATAACACTAGGACAAAATTTTCACATCGATCGAGCAAAACAAAAAATTTTTCAGGCTAACAACCTCAAAAAATATAATAATTGTTAATCAATTTGGAAAATTTTCAGTCCATGAGGAGAAGAAAAATAAAGTTAGGAAAGGTTACTTAAAATTATCAGTTCGATTCTTGCACAATTTCATTTTAAATTTTATTAAATTTATTGTTTTTACTTTATGATTTGTTCCTGGCATTAGAGAATAAAGAGTCAATAATGACTTATCTATTTAATTTTAAAAATGAAAAAAAGAGAGAAAAATGAAAGACATAGAAGATAGGATAAATATAGCAGCTTGGTCGAGCTTGTAGTGAAGTCGTTAGATTATTTCAAGCTGGATAGTTTTCTTCTCATACTCGACTGCCGACTATACTAGCTGTCAAAACTATAGCTATTGCGAGGAAGTTATTGAAAAATTAAAAACCTAAATTGAAAATTCGTTAGCCTTATTTTTTAAATATTTAAACGAGGATATTGAAATAACAAAATGGTCATCGAAGTGGCAGGCGGGCTGTTGCTCTTGAACGCCAACCACAGAATAATACATGTCTTATTTTATTTCATTAACTTCGATAACATCAGCCTGCATGTTCTCTTTATGATTTCGAAAACATTCTAATCTACCTCCTACCTATTCATAAGAAGTTTTAATTTTGTCAAGAAATGTTGAAATATTCTAAGATAGATAACAGTTTTGCTAAGATTTATTTTTTAACTTCTGGAAATAATTAATGAGGTAACTTAAATTGAAGAACCCAAGTTTAGCAGCGACAAAATAGATCAATTTTAAATTGAGTTGTCTGAAATACTAATATGAAAAAGATAATGTCTTTATTTATTTTTTCACTTTTTCTTAGAGCAAAATTTTATTCTCTTTGAAAAGTTTCTTGGTTACTTTTTAGTTCTGGCAGGAGTACTATTCAGTCCTAAAGAGCCTCATGTATAGAAAAGATTAAGATCTGAACTAGCTCTAGAAACTACTGATATCATTTTTGTAATCGAAGAGTGGGGGCAGTATAGATAATGCGTATCTAAACTATAAAACTTTCAAAATTATTTGATTTTGCCAAGTTTAGGGTTTTTTATTTTATATCAATTTATCAATATTTTATTTTTCAAACCCCTGAAAAAAAGACAAGAAAAAAAAAAAAGATCGAGCGGAGAAAATGCTGCGTTTTTTTCGGTTGTTTGTTTCCCAAAATGAATTTTTTCAAATCGTTGGTTATCGCATGAACTATTCATAACACTTCATCCAGAAAAGACTAATTATTTCTAAATAGCCTAATCGTGCCATCATCAATACCCTCATGTTAGCCACTTCGTCTGTTCTTCAGCAAACGATAAGGACGGTTTTCTGATTAGCCAGATACTTTTGCGGTTTTAAGTCATATCTCATCCAAGATCAAGTCGTCAGCTCTTTCATATGTAAATTGCCCGAGTAGTGAAGGCCCTTCTTTCAGTGGATACCTTAAATTAGTGACTCGGCTATGCTTAATTAACGTTGGACAAATTTTATTCATCTGAATTGATCTTTATCAGTGTACTATTCAATACGATACTTGCCTTTAATACTGTGAGATTTTCTGGCTTATTGTCAAGCGTCAACTGATCAGATGACGCGCGCACGTGGTGGACTTGCCGCGCACAAGGTGAACCAAATGGCACGCTAACCGTATCCTCCTTTTTTGCGCTTTGAAAAAACATCTTCCATTCCCACCCCCCTCCCCATCCCCGTTATTTTCTGGGATGCAATATCTCTAGCAATCTTCAAAACCTCATGATCCCCGATTTTCATGAAAATTTCGATTCATCATATCGAGCGACATACGATATGTAAAAATACATGAGATTGGCAACATGCCTTTTTTCCAACTGACAACCGAACATATATGAAATAATGGAAATACTTGACAGCGACATACAAAATACAAGCTTTATTAGACAAAAGTAGAGTTAAAGTTTATGGATATCGAGTATTCTAGTAAAACAGTTGGGAAAATCACGCAATAGTTAAAATTGCAGAGATGCTGCCCTCAGATTTCTGCAATTTTTAATACAAGCATTAAATCGAGCAACATCCGAATAGAATATGACATTTGATTTATTTCGTGAGAAAAAATAGCGATATTGAAAATCTGTGAAAAGACGATCAACATTAAAACCAGCAGATCGACGTCATAGCTATCAGTACTTTAATCTTTTTATTTTCTCCTAGCTTGCCACAAGCCTACTAAGAAAATTGCGCATTGTTAGCTACTCTTTTTATAGCTGGATTTTTCGCTTGTTTAGTTTTTTTCAGCACTAGCATTACATTTTTTAGCCTCTTTGCTTTTAGATACAATGAGCACTACTATACCACATGTACTCGTGCATGTGGTACTCGTCCATGTGGCCGCTCCTATCAAGAGTAGCTACATCACGCACATTTAATGTATGGAATTTTACTGCGTGATACATCTACTGTGGCTGATCAAGTGCTACCAACCATATGAATGGTGTGCGCACATATAAGACATGCACATGTATGGAATTTTACTGCGTGACTCATCTACTGTGGCTGATCAAGTGCTACCATCGCGATACATGAATGACGTTACGCACCTTGAAGTCACGCACATTTAATGTATGGAATTTTTACTGCGTTACTCATCTACTATGGCTGATTAAGTGATACCATCGCGATATGCATGGTGTGCGCACATATAAGACATGCACATGTATGGAATTTTACTGCGTGACTCATCCACTATGGCTGATCAAGTGCTACCATCGCGATACATGAATGACGTTACTCACCTTGAAGTCACGCACATTTAATGTATGGAATTTTACTGCGTGACTAATATCTACTGTAGCTGATCACTGAGTGCTACCACTCATAATGTGATGCACCTTAGAGTAACGAGCACTTTATGTATGGAATTGTACTATACGTGACTCATATCTACTGTGGCTGATCAAATGCTACATACTGCCCATAGAGCAGATTTTGGATGACTGTGAAAGAGTAGGTGATGCTTTCTAAAATTTGATTTGGTAATTTTTTTTGGCAGTTCTGCGACTTTTGCGTAACCGTGTCCACGCCGTGTTTATACCGTGTTTCGGGCATTTTATTGGATGGAGAGTAAAATCTAGATCTCGAGCAATGTGATTGGACTTGCGTATGGATTGACGTGTGTTACGACCGTGTTCGTGTCGCGAGCTTTTCACAATTATACGAAAACTGCCTAAATGAATGGTGTGCGCAGATTGAAGTCACGCACTATTTACTGATATGTTTATCCATAGGACTTCTATTACCGGTATAGTGACATGTTAATAGCAATGTTAGTACTACCATCTAAGTAGTATGTAGCTTGCTACCTGCTATATACCTGTTCTGTCAGTCACGCATGTACCGGTATTGGTATTGTATTATATCTCTTGTTACTGTCGTGACGACTCTGTATGAAATGCGCAGGAGAGAAGAACTTGAAATTCAACGAAAAAGAGAAGAAAGGAAAGAAGACAATAACAGCGGAAAGTAGACTGAGAAATGAACGAAAGAAACGGTAAAATGAAAGAAAAACGAGAAGAAGAAGAAGAGGAAGAAGGAAGAACAAAGATACATGAAGTCAGGAGACTACTTCCTTAAGATAGCAAATTTATATCGCTGGTCCGGGATAAATTATTCGGCATCGTATATGACTTTGAACAATCTAGAGGTCTCTTCAGGGTATCGATAAAATTTATTGGAGGTCGTGGAACCTTGTTTGGGCTGCCTGTGGTTAACAAGATATAGGGGCCTGGACATTCAAGAGGGAGGAAGGGCTGACACCAAAAACCCTACACTACAACAGAAAACATGGTAAAATATCTCACTGTAAAACTACATTTTCCACCCTTGTTTATTGCTGAGCTCAATTCCTAGCTAAATACATGATTGTGATCTTATTTTTAAGGCTGAGAATGGAGATATCGAGGAATGGAGTGTAAAAGTATTGGACGCAAGTAAAGACGGAGATGTGGTCAAGTTTACCATTCAAACCAAAACGGTGAGGAATGTCTTGCTTTATAACTCTCTGATTCAACTAAATAACTAATTATCCAACTATCTACTGTCTGCTAGAGGAATATTTCTGTATTTAAGGTTTAAGTTTACGCGCATTTGTTGTTTATTAGTTTATATTAACTTTGCATAAATTCGTGGTCACCTGATTTTGGATATTTGATCCCGTCTCATCGATCCTGCATAATGTATTTAAAGGACCTTAAAAAACCTCAAAAATCTTTCAATAGCTGTGTCATCCAAGTATTAAAATGCTATGATTTTGAAATACAGTTTGAATAGTTATAAGAATTGTTATATTTCTAGTATTAGACAAAAGCTGAAAGTAAGCTTGTAGGCAAACGAACGAATGTCAAAATTTTAATTAATAATGAACAATTATTGCTTATATAATTAGCTTTTTTTATTCTTGATTTGGTAGTCAATTAATAATGGAAAGATATATTTACGCGACAACAGGCATGAAAATTAAATGAAATCCTAGTTTGGTTTGGGCTATCAATACATGAAGACTCTCATTTCTTTGGAAGAAAATTAAGAAAAGGGAAGTCAGCTTATATAGCTTTGCAGCTGTCAGCAGCTTCTTCAGCTTTATAGCTGAATAATGCTAGATTCTTCTACCTCACCACATTTAGGGATCACATAAGATAGCAATGCACCCATGCAACTCCAGTGCACCTTTGCTTGTCGGCATTAACTACAGTGGTGTATTTATTGGGTGAAGAACTGTTTACAAAAACATTCAGCTTCGTAGAAGCACACTTCTACAATTTACAATGTATGTTGGGGCTTGAAGCAAGACAGAGCTGCTGCTGCACAGTTTACATTCTGGAGTGGTGATTTCTTTGGATGTCTCCATAGCATTATCCATTGTGTCTTTGACATCCAATCCCATTCTATCCTTGTTCTTTGAGGGTTTTTGTTCAAGGTTTTCCAGTTTTCCTCCCTCCATAAAAATCAACTTCTAAATTCTAATTTAATCTATTGGCTGCCTTATCAATTGGGCTGCAAAACCTGTTATTCATATTATGCCATCCACCCAGAAATGGTTAATAAGATTAATAATTATGAATACTTCAATACCTTCTATATACTCGTTCCCAGTACTTCACTCGTTTCTAAAGTGGCCTATTGGAACTTAAACTTAAAACTTAAACTTATATTTTACAACCATCACTCCCCAGACGGGCCGGGGCTCTTCCGTGAGGTTCCCTCCACACGCACTACCACTACATTCTATATTTACAACTTACAACACTCAACTCACATGTTGCTTTTTACGGAGGGAAGAAACCAGAGATCCTGGAGAAAACCCTCGTGGCAAGGGAGAGAACAACACAACAAACAAACTCAACTCACATATGATCCAGTCTGAGTCAGGGCTCGAACCCGGACCACAGTGGTGAAAAGTGAGCGGTAAACCACTACGCCACCCATGCTACCCATGCCACCCGGAAGCAATGGAACCAATCAGAAAGCAGCAAAAAACAATAGCCCTCCAATATATCCTTTCATTCCAATGAGAAAAAATGACGGTGGCTATCTAGTTGTTTGCATGTTATGTCAGGGTCAAATTTAATACCATCTCGTGCAGTCTAGGTTTCTGATTGGCTTGACTACAGAAAGTTGGATTGCATTTAGTCTAACTGGTCTAATTGGTTCTCTTGTCAAACTGGTCTAAGTGGCCCTGGTCGCAGTAGTTGCCAGTAGTACTGGTCAAAATTACCTGTAAGGCAAAGATTTGACCAGACAAGTTTTGATTCAGGGCGTACATTGTTTGATGTTTGGCCGTAATTTTAAGACCTGTGACCAGATAAATTCTGATTCAGGGCATACATTGTCTGATGATTGGCTGTAATTTCAAGACCTGTGACCAGATAAGTTCTGATTCAGGGCGTACATTGTCTGATGGCTGGCTGTAATTTTAAGACCTGTGACTAGATAAGTTCTGATTCAGGGCGTACATTGTCNACCTGTGACTAGATAAGTTCTGATTCAGGGCGTACATTGTCTGATGGCTGGCTGTAATTTTAAGACCTGTGACTAGATAAGTTCTGATTCAGGGCATACATAGGTTCGATGATTGGCTGTAATTTTAAGACCTGTGACCAGATAAGTTCTGATTCAGGGCGTACATTGTCTGATGGCTGGCTGTAATTTTAAGACCTGTGACTAGATAAGTTCTGATTCTGACCAGACATTGTCTGATGATCGGCCATTATTTTAAGTCCTGAAAGTCCAAACTATTAATAATAAGAAAAGTATGAGAAAATTTGGTGAGTATATATTGTTTATTTCTTCAGAGTGACCATGACAATGAAAAAGGTGTGATAGTTCTTCGTGAATATGATGACTTTGAGTGGCTCTATCACTGTTTGACAACACAGAATAAAGTTGATGCTGTAGTGGTAAGTTACCATAGAAATTATTGTTAAAACATATCCACCCAAACTTTTCAGCTTGGGCGTAATGTTTTACTATTTCAGACCATGTGTCATTCCCTTAAGAAAAAGATTCTTTGAGTTGTAATTATATTCATGTGTCTTCTTATGTGTAATTAAGAGCAACAGATATTAGCAAATTTATAAGTCTATTGAGGAGAAATAATTATTTGAACCCAGATGGGAAACCAATATAAAAAAGAAAAGCGAAAATTCTTGCTCAAAGTATTTTACCCTCATTGTATCCCATGATGCAATGGATAAGTATGAAATTTTGTTTATGAACAACTTTATCAAATTGTTCACATTTATTCTATTCTGTAGATACCACCCTTACCTGCCCGACCTATTGTGACAGCAAGTGCTGCTGAAGCCAAATCAAAGAAACAACTTGGTAATATGCAGCTAGAAACATCTTTTGTTATTATTAAATTTCCAATGGTTTAGCATGGTATGTTTGCCACACACTTGAAACAAGATATGATATAACAACTTGATAATAACAAAATGTTATGTACCCACTAGGAGTAGCTGAGCTGTTACATTACTAATTTTGACCAACTGTTATCTTCATATAGGAGACTCATTTACTCATTGGCATCATTTACTACCACTACCAGAATCCCTTGCACAGTCTCTTTTGTTCAGTCAATTAGCACCAATTKTCYTACTATTCTCATGAGGGAATACAAATTAGAAAAGGAAAGAAAATTTGCGAAGCATTTTGGTAGTGGTAGTAAAAWGATGCCATCATGCAAACAGCCTATTGTGGTAAATACTGTAAGAGCAAATACCACACTAAATTATTGGAAATTTGTTGGTATGTCTTCATATTCACCACAGAAAGCCAGAAAAATTCCCAGCTTGTACAATGAATGTAAATAAAATGTACTTGCATTTTTTATGTCTTGTAGGGAAGGATTCCAAAACGATGGTGCCAGATGAATTCACCAGAGACTGTCGTAACCTTGAAAAGTAAGAGCTGCCAAGCGTTTATCTTGTATATCTTGCATCTTGTGTATTAATGGTAAATCAAAATGCTTTTATTTTATATAACCTTTGTTTATCCCTCCATAACCATGTCCTGAAACACTTTGTGGGGTAAATCTTATTCCTGGGAACATGGCTGCTACATGAGAAAGGTTCATTTATTTATTTATAATTATTTATGTGTATAAGTCTGTAATATATTTTATTATTTTTTAGATTTCTTCAACTCATCTTAGTCCACCCTGCCTTCAAAAAAGATGAAGGTTTAGAAAAATTCTTGACAGAGGAAGAGGTAAGGTTATCTATTCTTATTATTTTTAAGAATAAATAAGATACTAAATTAATAATTATAATGGTAGGAACTGGTTGAGTGTTATTCTGTTGTGTAGGAGGTTGTGGGTTCACTTTCTCCTGGGCTTAACTTAATTATTATGATTTAACAGGTCAAAAACAGTTTTCCGTGGTTAATACTCTGATCAAAACACGCGGGATGTTGAGAGAACACGAGAGGAGCGTAGGAAACCACAATGCGTAGCAGAGTAGTTTCCAGCTTCTTGACAATAATAGCAAACACGCCAAAAAAGTGAAAAAATATTGTATTATCCTGATGTATTTGTAAAGCATGACGCGAGTGTGTTTTGATACCCTCATCAAACCTGGTTTTCGGCCAATCATAGCGCGCGTAATATCCCAATTATTTTATAAAATGTTTTAATCTTGTTGTTATCATCATCAAACATAATTATTAACTAAAGTTATATTAATTCATCTTAGGCCCCAGTCAGGTCAAAAGTAAAGAAAGGCTTGTTTGATAGCCTGAGTAAAACTGTAGGTGAAGTCAGATTTCAAGGGTACAAGGTACTGTATCTCTAAGCAAATTTTGTATCATTGAAATTGTATCATTGAATCACTTAAACGCGTTAGCTAGTCTACAGATATTTATTAACACTTTCAGATTACTAGTTTTAAGTTGGTTATTGCAAGTTAAATGTGTGAATCTCTTTACAACCTCTCTTGTTGTATCTTGTATTATTTACAGATTTAGAGGACTGAGGGTGGTTGATGCAAATAGGAACTGAGAGAGTCCGCCATCATCACCTGGGCCCAGTTGTACGAAGGGTGCATAGCTCTATTGGGTGGAGTCCTTGTCAGGTGGATAAGTCGATGCTGTTTTCCAATGAATTTATCCACTGGATAAGATTTATCCATTGGACAGCACTATCTAGCACCCTTCATACAACTGGGCCCTGATAAAAAAAGTGTCAAAGTTTTAAGTCATTCAATGTTAAAACTTATGTCATTGTCATGCTGCGACACTCTTAAAATAGCATGCCCAACTTTTTGTTAATTCATACCTAACCTAATTTTTTCATGCTTGGTTGCACATAGGCCTGCCTTAAGGCATAAATAACTTGTGAATGGCTAAATGACTTATAATACATTTTCAAATATTTTACATTTCAAGGACAGAGATGAAGACTTCCAGAAGCACAGGGATTTTGTAGATAAATACTTGCTGGCAAGTAAAGAAGCCAGTATGGTAAGGAACTTAGAACAGTAAATAATTATAAAATCAACTGCAAGTTAATTGTCATTCATGTTCTATGTATCACATACTATAGCACTATCCATCCTTTTTACCACTGGACCCAGAAGTTTAATTAGGTCATTAGTGCAAAATTGCACCATCGCACTATAAGTTATATAACAGATGCATTGTCTTTCACATGGGATAAAGGTATAATTTATATTACTAATATACTGTTTTCATGTGAAGTTGGATTTCTTGTTTTCCTTTTTTTAGAACTTTACAAAAATGATCAACAGCCAACAACGTAAGTACAGCAATTAAGTTAGTTAAGTAGAGTCTCAATACATGTATCTTGAACCTCCTGGATACAAGGGAAAAGATTAGAAGTAACAGGTCCAGTTTGAGATATCCAGGTTTATGTTGTATGGTGATGCAAGACCATGGGACATACCTTCAAGTTTGAGAGAGATATGTGAGAAATAAAAGTACTCCACTGTATGTGAAAATCAAATAAAATCTACCCTAAATGCCAGAGCCTCTCTTACTCCAGTGCTTCTCAGTTGTAGGTTTTGTTACTATCAGGCAAGAGAGCCTCTGTGACACTTTGGGCATATGGGAAAACAGAAAACTAAGAATGAATGTCTCATTTTTGTTCTGTGGAATATGGTTCATTGGTAATCAGAGTAACTTATTTTCTCATTCTTGTTTGTTTGTATCTTAGGAGTAGCTCTGGGTCTTGGTGAACTGGGTACATCATTGTCGACAGCGGCAACCTTATCTGATATCGCCTCACAGAAATTGAAACCGTTAGTATTTAGAATCACAGGGTTTTCATTATGGGTGGATAATCAGAGAATGAGGACTACATGTAAGCAAAATTCACCACTTCCACATATAAACTGCCATCTTGTCAGGGACTTAATCATTTCAAAAAACCTTGCCAGGACCTTCCAGCTACATAGTTCATTTAATATCTTCTCCTATTATTCCAAAACTTAATGAAAAATTGGATAGCCTTTCATGGTTGCTTGTTGATTCGTCTTGTAGGTCTTTAAGTATATTCTCAAATGCACTAACAAGTCATAAGGTAAATATGATAAAATTTTACTACCCTTAGAGAGGATTACCAAAATCTTGCTGTAGCCTTTGATATATCTCACAAACGACTTCATTTCTCTTCTCATTCATTAGGATTCATATGAAGTAATGAGCACCAATGATGACAATACTCTTGGGTTTTCTTTAGAACTGTATACTCGCTACATGGAATCAGCCAAGGTAACAAAGTTAGAAACTCTAGTGTTTAAAAATCTTATTATCCATTCTCTTCACACTTTCTTCTTTTGAGTTTTAATTCTTAGTTTATTAGTAAGGAATGGTTTGTTGTCAAAGCCCCACCCCCCCCC